ATCACTGCCAAAGTCATTGGGGGGAACATTCCTTCCAGTCATGCTGTGAGCACCCCAGTTTTAAGTGTCTATGGAGATTCTCAAGTCATCCAGGTCATGGTTGTCCCAAAGGTGGTTTTTTCAAGAGGCAACTGGACTTTGTTTTTCTTTGTAGACATTTTGCTTCTCCTCCAAGGAGCTTCTTCAGCTCTGACTGGGTGGTGGGGAATGGACGAACGTCTGCAAGGAGTATCAATCCTTCCCGTCCTTCCTCTCAGATGAGTAGCGGAAACGTCTTCAAAGAAAAACCAGATAGTCCAGTTGCCTCCAGTTTTAACGCTGCAGCAATTCACCTTGAATTGCAAACGACAGACGGAACTTGGAGGGCGCCTCGCTCGCAGGTAAACTTGCCTAACCAAACTCTCTTATGTCTCCTACCTCCAACCCCCACCTCCCTTTTAAGTCCTGCCACGAGTCCAGCTCCTGCATATGCAACGGGAGAACGGAGCGGCGGGTGCAATTCAGGAGCGCTCAGGCTCCCCCACTGGGGGTTGGGGTTAGCCGGGAAAGCTCCCCCAAGGCTGATTTTAGCAGCCCCACTAAAGGTTAACACACACCCCCCCCCCCCCCCCAGTCAATTCGTACCCTCCCCAGCTGCTTGCATGGCAGTTTGGGCTCCTTTTCTTTGCAAAGAGGGTCCATCGCGGTCCTTCCAACAGGAACAGGTGGGAAGCCCCCACCCCTCTTGCACCCCCCCCCCCCGGGACCCCCCCCCCCCCCCCCGCCGGGGAGCGAAGGGCCGGGAGGTGGCGCCCCCCCCCCCCCCCTCCCCCCCCCCCCTCCTTTGCAAAGCCCAGGAAAAGCCTGGCGGACTCGAGCCCCGAGCCGCCGTTCCCGGAACGCGCCACTCCTCCTTCCCCTCCGGCCAAGCAGGCAGGCAGGCAGGCTGGCTGTTGCCGGCCAAGCATCGCCCCCCGCCGCCGATGTTCCTTTCAAAGCGCGTGCGCGGGAGCCCCCCCACCTCCCCCCACCATCCCGGCGCGCGCAAAGCGGGGCTGTTCCTCGCAAGAGTCTCTCTCCCCCCCGAGGCTTGAGAGGCGGGGGCAGAGACTGTCCCGGCCGGCGCTGATCTCGAGCGGCGATTGGCCGCTGTCTACGCTGACGTCACGATCATGATGAGAATTAATGATCGGAGGCGCTGATTTCATTGTGTGACGCCGGGACCGACCCAGCCGAAACCGGCTGAATTCGGAGCCCTGGGGCCCCCCGTGGCCGCCCCGCCCGCCCCACAGAGCACGGTGGGTCCGGTAGAAGGGGGGGTGGGCTGGCGGCCGGGGACGGGGGAGGGGCGGGGAGGGCGCGCGGCCCCGGAGGGGGGAGGGGCGACGGTGAGGGAAGGTGTGGGGAGGGGGGCGGCCTTCCCGCCAGGCCTTGTCGAGGATGAGCCTGCGAGAACGGCCCTTCTTCGGTTTACGGCTTGGCGGGCAAGGGGCCGACGGAGAAAGGAGGTTGGGGGGAAAAAAGAGGGAAAGAATTGACGAGTTTCGGGGCTTCAGTTCGGAGCTCGCGGAGCAGAACTCGGGACGCGCATGCGTGCCGTTCGCCTCGCTCGATCTGCTGCAACAGACGCTTGGAGCCGTCGGCTGGAGCGCGAGGGAAGGCTGCGCCTGCGCAGAAGAGCGCCCCGTCGCCGGACTGCCCTCGCTTTACGTACCTTCGTCTTTTTTTTTTTTGTACGTAAAAGTCGATTTGGGCAGGCGGGGGGGGGGGAGGAGGAGGAAGGCGGCCGGCGATGTTCAAAATACCTTTGGTGTCGGTCCAGCGTTTGCCTTTCATGCAGGCAGCTGGTTCTTTAAATAAAAAAAGTGGTTTGCAAACATATCTTATGGGATCTGTCAAAAAATGAGCTTTTTGAGTCATCTGCCTGGAGTTTGCTAAAATAATACCGAAATAGGCTTTGTCTATTTTTAAAAGTTATTTCTGCCTCTGCCTCAGTGCTTCTCGTGCTATAAAATGCCATATGAAAAATACAACAGTTTATTGACGTGAATCCAATCAGAAGATTTTCTGTATGTTTCATAGTGTTGTACCTGACATCAGACAGCTGGTTTCATTCAAACATGGTTTGTTAAGCCATGGATTAGTGCAGGGGGGTTGGACTAGAAGACCTCCAAGGTCCCTTCCAACTCTGTTATTCTGTTAAGTTAACCTTGGAGACCCTAAGTTCTGTGGGCCTCAACTCCCAAAATCCTCAACCAGCAATTTGACTGGGGGATTCTGGGAGTTATGAAATCCACACATCTCAAAGCATGCTGGCTGAGGAATTCTGGGAGTTGAAAGTACAGACATCTTAAAAGTTGCCAAGATTGAGAAAGGCTGGATTAGAATATTATGCCAATGCCAGTTAATATGTGTCAAAAGGTTACATTAGGCTGCTGCACTAATGATTCCTCTCTAGGAATCAAGTGATTAACACCTCTTGTAATTACAAACATCATTCCATACTATTTATTTTATATATTTGTCAATCGCTCACAAGATAATAGATATAAGTATAAACATGAATAAGAAATACAGAAAATAGGTATGAATAAATGGAAACAATAGGACAGGGACGGTAGGCACGATGGTGCACTTATGCACGCTCCTTAATCTTCTGCAACCGTAGTAACTGACCAGTGCTTTGAAAATGGGAGCATTGCAAGCTTCTGGTATTTCAGAAAACAGATTTTGCTTCGTTTAATTTAACTTAAATGTAAAGATGAGTATGCATTCCCCACTAGGAAATGCATGACGTAGGCTCTGTGTTGGCTCAGTGGGTAAGATGCTGAGCTTGTTGATCAGAAAAGTCGGCAATTCGAATCCCTAGCGCCGCGTAACAGAGTGAGCTCCCGTTACTTCTCCCAGCTTCTGCCAACCTAGCAGTTTGAAAGCACATAAAAAATGCAAGTAGAAAAATAGGGATCACTTTGGTGGGAAGATAACAGCGCTCCATGCACCTGCGGCGTTTAGTCATGCAGGCCACATGACCATGGAGACGACTTTGGACAGCGCTGACTCTTCGGCTTTGTAACAGAGATGAGCACCGCCCCCTAGAGCCGGAAATGACTAGCATGTACAGTATGTGTGGGGTAACCTTTACCTTTACCTCATAGCTGATGGGATGGTAGCAGCAGGAAACGACTAGCACCTATGTGCAAGGGGAACCTTTACCTATTGTCTCATCTATTTATTTATTTATTTATAGTAATAGCACTTGGACTTATATGCCGCTTTACAGCCCTACGTAAACAGTTTACAGAGTCAGCCTCTTGCCCCCAACAATCTGGGTCCTCATTTTACCCACCTCAGAAGAATGAAAGGCTAAGTCAACCTTGAGCCTGGTGAGATTCAAATTGCCAAATTGCAGGCAGCCGGCAGTCAGCAGAAGTAGCCTGCAGTCCTGCACTCTAACCACTGCGCCACAGAGGCTCCCTATGATTCTATTCTATTCTATATTCTACTCTACTCTATATATATTCTGTTCTATTCTATTCAACTTAATTTGACTTTGAAATGAAATCTGTATTGCATTAGTCAGCTCAGCATGCTAAGAAAATTCTAAGTTTTCCTATAGTTAATATATTGCATCTTCAACATTTGTGTCCAAAGTAGGACAGGGCAGAACAAAGGAAGCTACAAAAAAAAAAAAAAAAAAAAAAAAAATCAAGCATAAAAGTAGTCAGGCAAACAGGTGCCTGTGGGAATAAAATAAAATGGTTTTAATGTCATGCCTCAAATGCAAAAGCATGAATGGCATGTGAGCTTTGTGGAATATACCAAGGCAAGGTGTCATGTTGAGAGAAGCCTCAACTGGGAGAACAATGGAATAGGCAATTATGCTTTTGAGGAATGAGCAGCTTCATATGCATATGCACGGGTCTTTCGTGGTTTCATTCATTTTTTAAAGAACTGATAGAATAATGACCGAAAACATGCCAAGAGTCAACGTCAAGGCCCTTCACTTTGGGGAAAGATACTTTTCTGACTATGAAGTCTTGGTGCCGGTTTTTAAGGACCGTCAATCGGATGGGTGGTTATAGAAATTGAATGAATGAATAAATGGGTGAATAGATGAATAAAAATAAATAAAAGATTCAGCTGATACTGGTATTCTATAAGACTTGTGCTTTGAATTACAGCATTGCTTAATAATTTCAGGGAGTGAGATGTGGCTTCAGAGCAGTGCCCACCCATGATCTACAATATGGAGGTAATAGTGAGGGATTGCTTATGTGGTGTGTGAGAGAGAGAGAGAGAGAGAGAGAGAGAGTGCTTTGAAGTCATGACATGAAGTTATGTAATTTGTCTAGTCTAATTTTAAGCTGGCGTCAAGCTGAGGTTGCTTTGGTCAATCCCAGGGCTGGCAGCTGTAAGGGAGACTACATTCCTGTTGGTTCCAATAAATCTGTCAGCCACATGTTTTTTTTTTTTTAAATTTTCAAAGCCTTATACCCTTCCTGGCCTCCTGACATGGGAGATACCAGTTTGCAGGGTCTCTAATCCATGTTTAGAAATTGGTATCTGAAGCTGGGGGGTTTCTGTGATGGTTAAGTTTCAAATCCATCCCTGTATATGTTTGTCTAATTTCTTTTTCATGCTCTCCAACTTCTATTTAAAATACTGAAAAGATAATTGGGAATTGTACTATTACAATGATTCTTGGTCGCGTGGTCAGCCAGATAGTTTTACCCTCCCCTTTTTACATATAATTCAATGTGGTAAAATTACTTGGTTCTCCTGCCATGCCCTTTTTTTGCCACCACAACCCTATGAGGCTGGGCACAGAGAGAGAGCAACTGGACCAGTCATCTCATTGGCTTTCATGAGAAAGGAAGACCTAGAACTCCTGGTTTCATCACTATATCCAACCGGCTCTCGTATTATTCTATTGCAGAATAACGGAGTTGGGAGGGACCTTGGAGGTCTTCTAGTCCAACCTACTTCTCAAGCAGGAAACCCTATACCATTCCAGACAAATGGCCGTCCAATCTCTTCTTAAAAGCCTCCAGTGATGGAACATCCACAACTTTGTTCCTCTTTGTTTCTCTACCAAGGTAGCTTTTGTTCTTGTTTTGAATCAATATCTGGCACAATAATAGAGTGGATATATGGTAGTAAATTGAAACATTCAGTCAAATCAAAGTTCCTTTTCATTAGGAAAAAAAGTCTGGTTTTCTTTCTCAACTGGAGTTCTATCCAACCCTGGGGTTTTGTGAGTTGCAACTAATTGCATGTTGGTTGCAAACAAGCATTTGTTCTGTTGGCTTTCATATGCTGGACTTCCTATGTAGTTGCTCAGTTTGGTATAATGTTCTTCATTTTTCTGTCCATGCCTTCCTCACATAAACCTGAACAGTAAATTAATATATTTAGGGGAGAGTATGGGCAGCATCAATTTCTGTTGACTTTAGGTGGCAGTCTTTGACTAAAAGCTAGCTTATAGAAATTTCTGGGGAGAAACATACAGAATCACTCATTGTTCCAGAATCAGTATTTGTATGGTATCTTCTTTGCAACTTGTCAGCAAGGAACAAAATTTATATTTTATGAAATACAATATGAATACGAATCATTCTGATAGGCTGCATTGCATTGATTATTTGTGTCTTCATTCATTTCCTACCTTTATTATTTTCACCACTCAAGGCAGTGATCACATCCAACACATCTTCCTTCCTCCTCCTCTTGTTTTCTCCACAACAACAAATGAGGTGGGATGGGTTGAGAGAGAGTGACTGGTCTAAAGTCACCCAATTGGCTTCATGACTAAGGTGAGATTAGAACTCACCCCGTCTGCTGGTGATTGGCCTTCAATGGCTTTGGCACTCAGCTGGCTTTCATGGTTTCTAACCTGGTGCCTTAACCACTAGACCAAACTGGCTTTCTCAATTATGGCAGTAAAGAATAACATCTACTCCACCTTATATCTTATGCATACCCTTTTATCATTTGCTATGTGGCTATAGTAGTGGAAGGCTCTGTTTATTTGTTTTTTTGTGGCATGAAAATTGCAAGAGGTTACACATTTATATATGGTTTTTCAATTAAGTCTAAGCTTGTGTTTTAGAGAGGCACTTGTGTTGATATGCCAATACTTGTGTTTTTGGCATCATAATGGGGGGGGGGGGGGAATCCTCGGAGTGGTTCTAGCCAATTTAAGCCTTCTATGGAACTGAACATATGGTTTCCTTCACAATAGAGCTAGAGAAGAACAAATGTGCAGTTGAGTTTTTCGTACATCTTGTGTCACCTTAAAGATAAAGAAATGTGTCGTGCCATTATTTTACATGTACCAGAAGCTACTTGTGATTAATGAATGGAATGGCTTGCTCCAGAAGTTGTGAATGCTCCAACACTGGAGGTTTTTAAGAAAAGATTGGACAACCATTTATCTGAAATTGTATATGGTTTCCCACTTCAGCAGAGGGTTGGACTAGAAGACCTCCAAGGTCCCTTCCAACTCTGCTATTCTGTTGTTCTAATAGAAACAACTTAGTTGGCCTAAGTCACTTAGATGATCCTGTCAACTTTTTTGAAATAGAAAAGCATGCAGAACACTTCAATGATCTGTTACGGATGCATCTGATGGGATCACATTTATTTTAAAATATAGATAGTCCTTGACTTACAACCACAATTGAGTCCATCATTTCCGTTGCGAAGCGAGATAAGTGAATTTTGCCTGATTTTACAACTTCTATTGCCACCGTTGTTAAGTGAATCTCTGTTGTTGTTAAGTTAGTAGCCCGGTTGTTAAGTGGTTCTGGCTTCCCCACTGACTTTGCTTGTCGGAAGGTGGTAAATGGGGAAGCCAGAACAGTCACTAAACAGACTGTTGTAAGTCAAGGACTACTTGTAAGTTAATAACGGTAGGATGGTTGTTATCACTCAGCACAAAAACATTGAATCTCAGTGTAATTTGTGGGTTAATGTCTACTTTCTTAAGAGACATGGTGGCGCAGTACTGCAGGGCTAATTCACTGCTCACTGCCAGCAGTTCGATCCTGACCAGCTCAAGGTTGACTCAGCCTTCCATCCTTCCGAGGTGGGTAAAATGAGGACCCAGATTGTTGGGGGCAAGAGGCTGACTCTGTAGACCACTTAGAGAAGGCTGTAAAACACTGTGAAGCGGTATATAAGTCTAAGTGCTAGTGCTATAGCACAGTGGTTGCCAACCAGTGGGCCAGGGACCACTGATGGTCCATGAGAAAATTTTGGTGCTCCGCAGATTAATGTCACCCCCAGAGCACCCCCCCAAAGCAATTAATCCAGGCTGCGTGGGAACACAAGGCTGCGCTGCCCACATGGCCTGTGGGAACACAAGACTTGCATCACATTGGGAACAACACAAGGTAGTGAGGAGAGGGGGGGAAAGGGCAGAGGGACACCTGGCCTGGCCACCGGACCACCGGGCTGCTTCTTTCCGCTTCTTTCTTCTTCTGCTTTTGGCTACACGCAAGGAAAGCAGCAAAAGTCTTTCTTTCTCTCCCCCAAACTCCGCCAGAAATGAGTCTTTGGGACCCTGCAAGGCCTCCTGCTCCAAGAGGCTGTGCCAGCAAAGACTCGTTTCTGGTGGAGTTTGGAGGAGAGAAAGAAAGACTTCTGCTGCTTCCCTTGCATGAAGCCAAAAGTCAGTCTCTGTCTCTCTCTCTCCCCCTCCCTCCCTCCCTCTCTCTCCCTTTGAACGGAGCTGGAGACGGTATCCTGCGGTCCCAAATAAAGAATGATCGATCAGTAAGAAAACGGGGCAGGGAATTTTCCTGCAGACCTTTTTGGGGATTTTCCCAGGGTCTCTGCTGCTTTCTGGGAAAATGTCAGCAAGCCACCATCACTTAAAATTCATATTAGTGGTCCGCGGGAGTTAAAATTGTGAGTTTGGTGGTCCCTGAGGTCCAAAAGGTTGGTGCCCCCTGCCATAGCATACCTACTGGAAATAACAGCTAACTCGCAATCTTGAAATGGCTTTAGCAGAAGTATTTTTAGCATTGATTTGTATCATTTCTTTGTTCACTGACTTCTATCGGAAGTCGTTTTCATTAGTGTTTGCTTCGTTTCAGCTATTGACTTTTCAGTCAAACTTGATGTCTCTCTGTTTAAAGAATGGGATCAATAGGCACCTCTGAGAACCTGATTGATAATCCCAATATATTGATGCAAGGTTGTCAAAAGAGGAACAACTTTCAACTGAGATATAGATCAGCATCTTGCTCACCTCTGTTATTAAGGAAGTAGCACACAACAGGAGCAGAAAACAGGAGAAACAGCTGCTCAAGCAGTGTCCATATTGTTTCTTAGACTACGCTATGCTAGTGGTGCAGCCAAAGTAGAATTAGAATAGAATAGAATTCTTTATTGGCCACGTGTGTCTGGACACACAAGGAATTTGTCTCTAGTGCATAAGCTCTCAGTATAGCTAAAAGAAAAGATACATTCGTTAAGAGTCAAGAATCATAAGGTACAACACTTAATGATAGTCAGAGCGTACAATCAACAATCAATCATACCTGGAAACAATATAAATCGTAAGGATACAAGCGACAAAGTTACAGTCATACAGTCACAAGTGGGAGGGGATGGGTGATAAGGAGTGATGAGAAGATTAATAGTAATATTAGTGCAGACTTTGTAAATATTTGGACAGTGTGGAGGGAATTATTTGTTTAGAAGAGTGATGGCGTTCGGGAAAAACTGTCCTTGTGTCTAGTTGTTCTGGTGTGCAGTGCTCTATAGCGTCGTTTTAAGGGAAGGAGTTGAAACAGTTTATATCCGGGATGTGAGGGGTTTGTAAATATTTTCACAGCCCTCTTTTTGACTCGTGCGGTATACAAGTCTTCAATGGAAGGCAGGTTGGTAGTAATTGTTTTTTCTGCAGTCCTAATTATCCTCTGAAGTCTGTGTCTGTCCTGTTGGGTTGCAGAACCAAACCAGAAAGTTTTAGAGGTGCAGATGACAGACTCAATAATTCCTCTGTAGAACTGTACCAGCAGCTCCTTGGGCAGTTTGAATACTCAAAAAAATCAAAGTATGTCTTAGCCAAAATCACCAACAATGTTAAGAAAATATGTTTGCTTGACAGAATCTGTTTGATATAACATAACATATGTTTGGCATTAACATAACAATGTTAATAGCACTTACCACTGATATACTGCTTCACAGTGCTTTACAGCCCTCTCTAACTAGTTTACAGAGTCAGCCTCTTGCCCCCAACAATCTGGGTCCTCATTTTACTGACCTCGGAAGAATGGAAGGCTGAGTCAATCTTGAGCTGGTGAGAATCAAACTGCTGGCAGTCAGCAGAATTAGCCTGCAATACTGCATCCAAACGACTGCAATATAACATGTCACATTTTGCCATGGGTTGGATAAACTCATCACTCTAAGCCATAATGATAACCTCATTATAGATTACTGGACAAATCATGTCTGGCTCATTTCATGCTATAGTGTCTCATTTCCAGCTAGTGTTTACAAACTATAGTAACTAATTCAGACAGTCCTCAACTTACGATCACAATTGAGCCCTAAATTTTTGTTGCTAAGTGAAATGTTTGTTAACCGAACGTTGCCCCATTTTACTCATTTTTCACACCACCGTTGTTAAGCGAATCACTGCAGTTGTTAAGCTAGTAACACCATTGTTAAATGAATCCGGCTTCCCCATTGACTTTGCTTGTGAGAAGGTCCCAAAATCACGGTCACTGCAACCGTCATAACTATGAGTCTGTTGCCAAGCCTCTGAATTTTGATCATGTGACCATGGAGGCTGCGATGGTCGTGAGTGTGAAAAACAGTCATAAATCACTTTTTTCAGTGGCGTTGTAACTTCAAACAGTCACTAAGTGAATGGTTGCAAGTCAAGAGCTTCCTGTAAGCTTAGAGTTTAGGGATAGACTGCTCTATCAGTCCTCTCTGCAACTTTGCAGATATCTGAGGCGACAAATCACATTAGTCTTGGCCTACTTAGCATTCATCGGGGGCAATAAAAGAGACTCAGGTCAGGAAAAAGTGAATTAGGTTTCACAATTGTGTCTCTGGGATCAGTAGAGAACCAAGACCTCTCTGCCTGCAACTTCACTCTATCCCTTTTTCTTGTTTATTTGTTTGTTTTGTTTGAGTGTTACTAAGAAGAGACCAAGTCCGTTTTTCTCTAGTAAAACACCCTTTTAATCTTTTTAATAGTATCGGAGTTCTGTTTGCGTTGAGCTACACTTAATTCCTGAATGTGAATAGTTACTGCTTCGTTTTGTTTTCGAGTGTTTGTAAATTATATTTAAGAATATTCACTGGGGAATCGGAATAAATTAGAGTCAGTCTGCTGTAGTTTTCTATTTCTTTAGATAAATGGGAGCCTGTACTTTTTTTTTTTTTTAAATGCCCTGTAAGTATTAAATTATTCCTCTTTTCAGAGTATCTTCTTTTATTTTTAGATGAATCTGCGTTCTGTATTTACTGCAGAACAACAGAGGATATTGCAGCGTTACTATGAAAATGGAATGACAAATCAGAGTAAAAATTGCTTTCAGCTCATATTACAGTGTGCACAAGAAACTAAGCTGGACTTCAGTGTAGTCAGGGTAAGTACTGAGGTTTCCATGCTCAAATTTACATGACAGTCTTAACAGGCACAGGTGTTTGCTTACCTTATCTACAGGGCATGGAGCCATAAAAAAGAAGCTTTATGCTTCAGTAGAATATGTGTTTAGAAATTTCTGTTGAAAACCTTTCTATTTTATTTATTAAATTTATTAAACTTATATGCCACCCATCTCACTGTTGCAGGACAAAAAGGGTAAAAAAAATATAATACAAAATGATTTAATTTAAGAAGAGTGTATTTGTATTTATTTATTTATTTATTTAACTATAGCAGTGGGTATAAACCCAAAGGTTTCTTGTTTTTTTTTTCTTTTGAAGACATTTCACTTCTCATCCAAGAAGCTTCCTCATTTTTGACAGGATAATAGGGAATGGAAAGATTATCCTGTCAGAGCTGAAGAAGCTTCTTGGATGAGAAACGTCTTCAAAAGAAAAAACAAGAAAGTCCAGTTGCCTCCTGAAAAAAGCACCTTTGGGACAACCAATGACCTGGATGACTGAGAATCTCTACAGACTTTCAGCGGGTATAAAACGCACAAGAGCCCCTCTGTGTATGATAATTCAAGAAGGAAGGAACACTTACATTATTGTAAGTGTGCAACTGTAAGTTTAAAGCATTCATACAACAAATTGCATTTGTAAAAAAAAAACTGTATTAGGCAAGTCGGGTTGTTATATAATTGGCTTCATAACACCTCTACTAGTTTCCAGTTGAATGTCTGCTTGGTGGCAAAATTTTGTTGGCCTTTGCGAAATAAGTGAGAAATAGCTCGCTCAGAAAAGCAATAGTTTGGGTGCCAAGCCTAGTTCACCGTTATGGTTTAGCTTAGTTATTCTTTTAACCATATGTTAAAACAGCAGCTCATGTGGCACCTCTGCTCCGCGAGCTGCGTTGGCTGCCATTTTGCTTCTAGTTCCAGTGAAAGATGCTGGTTTTAACCTCCAGTGCCCTTCATGGCAAGGAACTGGGCGGTCTGAGGGACTGCCTTTCTCCGGTTACACCATCCCATTCCATTGGATCTGGCAGAGAAGGCCTGCTGCGGGTACCGTCAGCTAGGAACCTATGTTTGGTGGACCTCAGGAGACACGCCTTCTCTGCCTTGGACCCCACCTTATGGAATGTTGTTGTTGTTGTTGTTAGTTGTGAAGTCATGTCCGACCCATCACAACCCCATGGACAACATTCCTCCAGACCTTCCTGTCCTCTACCATCTTCCGGAGTCCACTTAAGCTCACTCCCAACTGCTTCAATGACTCTGTCCAGCCACCTCCTTCTCTGCCGTCCCCTCCTTCTTCTTTTTCTCTCAGTCTTTCCCAGAATTAGGCTCTTCTCCAGCGAGTCCTTCCTTCTCATGAGGTGGCCAAAGTCTTTGAGTTTCATCTTCAGGATCTGGCCTTCAGTTGGGGTTGATCTCCTCTAGGACTGACCAGTTGGATCTCCTTGCAGTCCAAGGGACTCTCGGGAGTCTTCTCCAGCACCAGAGTTCAAAAGCCTCAATTCTTTGGCTCAGCCTTTCTTATGCTCCAACTTTCACAGCTTTTTATGCAACGTGCTTCTCCCCAAAATTAAATTAGCTTCATCCCTTTTAATATCATTTATGTCCCTCAAGACCTGGTTATCTTATCAGGCTTGATGCTCCCCGAGATCCAGATGCATGCTTAGCTGGCTCCATTGTTGAGATGGCCATTCTTCTCCCCTCTCTGCCCAGGGTTTGTATGTTTGTTTTTATTTGTGTATTTATTTATTTTTTTAATGTGGATTTGTCTTTTTACATCTGTTGCTTCTAGAACCATTACGTTATTATTCAATTGTTATATGCCATCCAGAATCGCTTTTGGTGAGGTGGGCAGCCATACAATTTTGATTAATAAATAAATAAAGTAGATGAAATTGAGGTGACAAATATTACCATCTGGGGTGTAGCAGTTGTTTTCCGAGAGTGTTCTTTGCCACAAAACTTGCCTATTTCTCTTTTTTAAGGCCAGGGAGAAGGACGTAGGGAAACATTTTAGGATTGGGACTTTGCAGTATTCAATCTGATTTGATAAGAGGTTGTAGATTGAGATGGCATTTTTTGCAGGTAGCTACAAAGCTGCCTGGTCTCCGTCTGAAGGCCATCAGATTGATGGAGTGTAGCCTAAATTATGCTTGGTTAAAATACCTAAAAGTCTGATAATTATGGGTGGAATACAGTGATCATAACCCTTCTGTTTGGCATACTCAGTGAATTGCAAGTTTCATTTTGTTACCACTTTATCTGTACAAGAAGGGACCCAATATCTTAAGGAAAATGCTTGTGTGGTAGTGAAGTCTCACCCGAAAAATCCATGACCGAGAAAATTAAAGTATTTCCAGATAGAATTACCTCTAAACTAATAATAAAAAGAGAATGTGCAATTATCTCACTTCTTGCCTCTCTTTTAATTGTTAATAAGAACAGGATATTAAAACAATGGGGAAAAAAATCTTGTACATCTCCACGAAACTTTATGAGCAAGGCAGGATGTGTAATAAGATTGGGATCACCCTTGTGCTTTCCTTTTTATTTTCCTTTTTGGTCATACCTATTTGGCAGAAGAAATTTTACAGTTCTTACAAGTTATTCGATACGTGAGTTCACGGAATTTTCTCTGTCTGTTCCGTAGCCTGTGAAGAAAAAAATTATAAACGCTTGACGGTCGGGTTGCTTAGACAATGCTATATTACGTATTGTTTTCTTGCTTCGTTTCTTGTGGGCTTAGGACAAGAACTTCTTCTTTTTCTTTAAATGGCAGGTGTGGGCTGCTCTAGCAGAGCAGTATTGTTGTGATTCCATTGAACGGCTAGAACCTGTCACCTTTGTGGTGACGCTTTTGGGCAAAACAAAAGGTTTAGAAATCAGAATTGATTTCCACTAGAAACCGAACCACGTGACTTCTTGCTGCCCCGAGAAGCAAAACAAAAGGTCTTCATACTCTCTCTCTTTCCAGTTTTGGATTTTTTTTTTAACACTGGTCTGTGAAGATAATAAAGTGATTTGATTTGACTTGGTGGGTTTTTCCCTTGTACCTCCAGAACCCCTCTATATGCTTAGTAGGTTTCCCAGTCAATTCTCGGCCATCAATGTGTCTTCCTTCTGCAGCATGTAGTCAGGATCATGCGTAATACATTAGTTGTCCCTTATTAATCATACGTACACAGTTCAGTATGGTACCATGAAGGCTCCTTTCCTGCGTTTGCTAGGTGTGGGGAGTGAGGGTCCTGTGTTTTCCATCCCTTGTTTTTGGCTTTATCTTAGAAACTTCCCTTGTGGCTGAAGACCTTTTTGCATAAATGGATCCTCCTTGAAATGTTCGCAGCATTGTAAGATAAAACTTACCATGCCAGTGATGGTGAATCTTTTTATTGGGATGTGCCAAAAGCATGCGCGCGCCAGCACGCACAATGCAATGCGCCCTACCCCCTGCGCATGCGCGCACAACACCCCCACCCCACCCCCTTACCTGCACTGCACATGTGCGTGCCTCCCAGCTGGTTTTCGGCCCGTTTAAGGCCGTTTTTGCCCTCCCGGAGGCTTGAGGGAAGCCTCTGCAGCCTCAGGGGGCTGAAAAACGGCCTTCCGGAAATACCGGAAGTGCCTGTTTTCAGCCTCTAGAGGGCCTCTGGAGCCCAGGGAAGGCTGTTTTCGTCCTCCCGAAGGCTCGAGGGAAGCCTCTGGAGTCTCAGGAGGCTGAAAATGGGCCCGTTTTGGCACTTTGGGTATTTCCGGAAGGCCCGTTTTTCGGCCTCCCAAGGCTGCAGAGGCTTCCCTCGAGCCTCCAGGAGGGCGAAAATGGCCTCAAACAGGCCGAAAATCAGCTGGGAGGCGCACGCATGCACAGTGCAGGTAAGTTTGGCTGGGGCTCGCGTGCCCGCACAAAGGGCTCTGCCTGCCACCTGTGGCACACGTGCCATAGGTTCCCCATCAGAGTCCTATGCTATACAATAGGGGTCTCAGACCTTGGGCTGGGGCCCATTACCAAGCTGTAACCATGCGAGTGGCTGGCCAGCATGTGCGCATGTGTGCACAACTCAACTTGGGCGAGATGCAGGCCGGCGGGCACTCGCGTACATATGCACCAGCCCCATTGCTCGCACAAATCGAGCGGCTTACTGGCCCCACCACTTGTGTGCGTCAGACTGCACATTTGCACACGCTGGCCCACTTCTCCTGTGTCCCAGTCCCCTCTTTCTCTCCCCCCCACCAAGCTGGGCCACCAAGCCGCAAAGGTTGGAGAGCAAATGGTATAGAAAATCAAAAGTCTTTTTTGAGAATTTTTGAGAAAATTTTTGACAAGTTAGTGGTAACTTGTCTCTTAAAACAGATGTGCAAAATAAATATAATTTTTTTTAGTTAATGAATCTCTGCTCCCTTATGGTAGAAGAAATATGAAACTGATATCCAGTCATAAACTGACCTGCATTTGTAATACACACACACACATACTCGTTTATAGTAGTATTGAAATAACAAACAGAATTGCCATCAACTATTTCATGCTGATCATTGCTAGTGAAGTTTATACACTTGTTAGATTTTTTAGCAATGACCCGCATTTTAAAAACATATTTTATGTAAAGAAATCATCAAATAGAACTCGAGTGACATTTCTATATATAAAACAGTTAAAATTCAAGGAATTGAATAGTGCCATCAATGTCTTTGCAAAGATTGATTTTTTTCCCCAGTTTCTAAATTAATGCAACATTTAATATAAAATTAAACATATAAAACAATCCTGGATATTGTAACTTTTCAATGAGCAGGTTCCTAGTCACAATGTCATATTGCGCATTGAGTCAGTGTTGATTCCTGGTGACTGCCTGGATAAGTCCCTGCAATTTTCTTGGCAAAATTTCAGAAATGACTTGCCATTGGCTTCTTCCTAGAACCCTTCCTAGGAGAGAAACTGGCTTACATAAGGTCCCCCGTGGGCTTCATGCCTTAAGGCAGAACTAGAACTCACAATCTCCCAGTTTCTAGCTGGTGTCTTAACCACTATACTGAACTGGCATTTACATCCTTAATTACTTAACTGTCTTTCATTCCCATATATATCAGTCAGGTGTTGAAAATGTTTATTATTTTCTCAGAACTTTAAACAAAGTTTGTTTGCAGATGTAAGGGAGTAAAGCTTTTGACATGATGATGGAAATACCACCTTGAAGTCTAGCTGAAAATTATAGCTGAGACCTGGAAAACCATCTCGCTTAGAATTATAGTGTGGGGATGGAAAGCTATCTCAAAAACTAGCTGAAAATTATAGTTGAGGGCCAGAAAACTACCTAGCATAGTTGAGCCATGAAAAGGCCACCTCGAAAGCTAGCTGAAAATTACGAATCCTCTTTGCTTACAAATTCCTTTTTGTTTGCAGACGTGGGTTGGAAACAAAAGAAGAAAGATGAGCAGTAAGAACGCCGTGGATTCTGGAGGAAGCCCATCAGCCACGACCAGCAGCACATTGACAATGCCTCCGGAAGTGGCCGTTCAAAACGTGGTCAGCATAGCCCGTTCCCAGAGCCAGCAGTCCTCGTGGACGTCCTCCAATAACGACGTCATTGTCACCGGCATCTATAACCCGGCTACTTCGTCTGGCAGACTGGTCTCCACCAAACAGACTAACTCCTTGATGAGCGATATGCATAAAAATTCCCTGTCAAGGCCGGCCGGGAAGAGCGATCCCGAATTCCAGCGGCAACACATCGCAGTGACCCGCCAAGCTCCCCATTGTAAAAACGCGTCGCTTTTCCTGGGCGAGAAAACCATCATCCTCTCCAGGCAAACCAGCGTGCTGAATTCAGGGAATTCTATTTACAACCACACGAAGAAAAGCTACGGCGGCTCGTCGGTTCAGACGGCGGAATTAGTATTACCTCAAAAGCCCGTCTTGTGCCACCGGCCGTACAAAGTGGACCAGGTGGGCTGCCAGCGGTTGCAAAAGCCAGAGCACCCCATCCTCGCTTCTTCCGTGCCATCCGGGCAGAGATCTAACGTTAGAGACCCTTCCTGTAGCACCCACAATTTGGAAATCCGAGAGGTTTTTTCCTTGGCTGTTACTGACCAGTCTCTGGGAGGAAGTCGAGAGAAGGCCCTGTCATCTTCCGGAGAAGGCAATTGCCTGTCTATCGCGATGGAAACCGGGGATGTGGACGATGAATACGCCAGAGAGGAAGAGTTGGCCTCCATGGGCGCCCAGATACAAAACTACTCTCGGCTAAGCGGCACGTCCCTCCGCGTCGAGAATCCGGGATCTGGTTTTTCTGGCTCAGGCAGGAGCATGAGTTGCAATTCGCACGTGCTGAACGCGAGGAACTTGCACAACAATATCTTGTATCACAACAGAGACTATCGTTTACCTCCACGGACTTCGTTGCACAGCACATCCAGTACGCTCTATAGCAATCCCTATCCATCAAGAAGTAACCTTTCTTCTCATTTTGCAGCATCCAATCAACTAAGGCTATCTCAGAACCAAAATAATTATCAGGTAATTGGGCTTTTCTTCCTAAGGTCCGACATTTAGGAAATGTGCCACTTCCATTTTTTTTTTTTTTTTAAATGTGAATCATCAACTCCAGCTCATGAGCGACTGTAAAGGGAATTGTTTCTTTTCTGCTACCAGGAAATAAAAGCAATTTTCTATTCCCCCTCCCACCCCTTATTCATTTCTTTATGGATGCCCGTTTTCCTCTTATGTCCCTGGCATTTTGATATTTTATTCTAGTACTAGCTCTGTACTCGTGCTTCGCTATGAAATTATGTGGTCGGGCTTAGTTTTTGGGGAGGAAAATAAGGGGGGGGGAATCTGCCTCTGCCTACCAGCATCCATCAGTATTTATCTGGCTGGCATCCTGTCAATGTGTGACAGTTTTGAGGGCCGTTTGGAAAGTGAAACAGTATTTGCTGTGTAAGCAAGAAGGAGACAGCAAGGAGCCTGGGCGTGGCTTAGCTCAATTGTTCTGTACTAAAGCTGGTTGCTGAAACTGAAACTTCTCTGCTTGTGTTTTGCATTT